AGCTTTCTAATGAAATCATAGAAATAATAATACTTTTACCTCGTAACTAGCCACGCCCGAGGGAGCTCAGAGAGCGTGTCAGTATAACGGACATGCCCCTCTTTACAAGACTGCATAAAAGATTGAGATAAGAATTATCAGATCATACTAGACAGACCTCAAGCTGCAGCTTTTGTCCATATTGGTCCCGACCCTGAAAATCAACACGAGGTGAAGACAACAAAGTTGCCTCCACTAACAATCAATGTTACGGCTGAGTAGCTGTTCTAAGTACTGTATCTAAGAAGGTGAATTTATGTGGGACCATCCTGTTACTCTCTTCAAGCCATCGTCTACTACACTGCTCTCATCACCCCACAGGGGATAATCGACACGGCTGATTAGCCGTCCTCAGAAGACCACTTCCAGAACGAGTGAAAGTAAACAGACAACTAAGAAGAAGGACATTGTGACCTCTTGTGGACAATCTGAGCCTTACATCTAAAAGGCCATCCAAAAGAGAAGGCCCAATCAACCCTTTTCCACAAAGGCCTGGGTCCAACAGAGATACACGACGAAGACCTCCAACACATAAATACATGCATAGCTTTTCTTCCCAAACGGACGGCAGTTCAGGGCAAAATATTAGGATTACTGTGAACATAGGTCCATGTGTATCCAAGTGTTTTCTCTCTCTCTCTTTAACTCGCCATCTTTTGTAACAAGTGTCATATTGTGTTAGTCCGCTAGGGATCCGTTTTCATTGTCTTAAGCTTCTAATCCCTACCTATACCATGTACGTGTTTGTATCTTGTGTTATAATTTTTTATTAGTTAGTAAATAAATAATTAAATCAATTTGTGTGGTATGGGATGATCCGTAAGACCTGGGTTCGTGCAGATTTAAAGAGTCTACGACTTTCAGAATGAGACTGATATGAGGTAAATTATTAATAAATGACTGTTAAATGATCAGAGATATCTAGATATCTTTAGAGTTAATTTGGGAAACGGTAACTCGTTAAACAACTTTTCCCGTTGTGCCCCAAATTCCTAATGCGTTAATTGTTACATGATTAATTTAATCTAGTAACAATTAAACATAGAAGGTAATTATTCGATAAATAATAGTCATCACAATAATGAAATGAAGGGACAGGTGGAGAGAACCAGGAAGCTAATGACAAAAGCCAACAAAGACAAGATGCTGCTAGCCGAGGAGCTTCATTTGAGAACGGATCAATTAAAAGACACTTATGACGAAGAACGAGTACAAACTCTCGAACAAATGCGTTTTCCACAAGAACAACTCGATTTTGCCAACAGTAAACATGACGAAGTCCACGCAAAACTAGATGAATCTGACGAGCTAGCTAAAAACAACGGCAACCAACTTGATGCCCTGCAAGCAGTTTTAAAATGACACCACTCAAAGCAATAATGTTCTATTCCAAAAGCTGCAGACCAAAGACGATCAGTTAATGAACAACTTGACCAAGTTGGATGACAAAATAGCGGAACTCATTGAAGTCGCTGACCGAATGAACAATGAGAGAACCCAGGTGAGGAAGTTGGAAAACTTGACCTCTAAGCAAGCAGAGGACATCTCATCACTGAATCTCTCGCTCCGCACTCGAGACCTCTCCCTGCAAACCATGACAGATAAGTATGAGGCCGAACAGAGCAACTGCGACACTCACACGTCTAAAATAAATACCCTCAGCTCCCAAGTGGACTCTGCGATGCATCAGAACACCACCCTTAGGTACCATCTGGAGGAACTCCAGAACAGCCATGCGCTACCACATGACTACCCAACCGAGCAACCAAGCTCACAACCGGAGCCTAGGGAATGAAGGAGTGTAGACGACAGGAGGTTTCAGACTTCACCTCTCTTAGGGGTCCCTCAGTCTTTTCATCTTGGTCGATCGGCCCAGAGTAACATAGCGCCTCTTTCAATTTTGCTTCTCCTCTTGGCCCTTCAGTCAAAAATTCCCCACGGAAGGAAGCAGACATTACCCGCACACATGGCATGGAACGCCTTGACAAAATCGTCAAAAACTTCTGCATCTTTGACCCCGTTCCAGGTAAGCCAAAACGACACTGAGACGTTCTTAGCAGAAGCTACCCGAATGCTACGAATACTGACAGGCTTTACCTGTTGAAGCGAACGTCCAACAGAAACGTGACAAGGTGAGTCCGTCTACAACAGCAACACGTGCAAAACGACTACGCTAAACTTGCCACAGCTTTGAAAACAGAATTCAGTGGTTCTGCGACTTGCAAACACGACAGCTCACTGGCTAACACTGTCAAACAAGGTTGGACTGAACACCCACAAGCCTACTATCATAGGCTTCGTTCAGCTTACTTTGCCATGCTCACTTAAACAGGAATGGAAGAGCTATTACCATTCAAACAAATGTTTCTGTCAAACATGTTTAACTACTTGGGCCCTACTACCCACGTTGGGTTGCCAATCTCGGCACACCGAGAGCTTGCGAGCACAGCTTTTGATGCATCTTCACAGCTTTTGATGCCACTTCACAGAGCACCCTTGCAGCGCAAGGGTGTGTCTTACCCTTGGAGCTTGATCCAGATCGACTGGGTCGGCCCAGTTGCCAGGTCGGCAAGAGGCAACAAGTATCTCCTCACAGTCACTTGCGCATTCACAAAGTGGGTGGAGTGCCTGCCCGCACCCAATGACACAGCGGAAACCACAGCCGTTCTTTTGCTCAACCACGTTTTCAGTCGTTTCGACTCGCCAGGAGAAACCGTGGACAGCGACAAGGACCCATTTTTCGGTTGCTGTAATGACCAAACTGTGGCGGCTCCTGGGAGTCAAAGCTAAACTCCACATCGCGTACCACCCTAGGAGCTCCGGCAGGGTAGAAAGGAGCAACCAAACAATCGTCACAATCTTGAGGAAATATGTGGCAGCCAACCACAAAGATTGGGACCTCAAACTCCCACTGGTATTGATGGTGATCAGAGCCACACGCAACAGGTCTACGGGAATAACACCATTTGAGATGATGATGGGTCGGCAAATGACGCTTCCACTGCATCTCCTGTACCAACCGGGAGATGTCGCGACGGCCACTGCGTACACGGCCCATCAATACGTGACGGACTTGCGAACCCACCTCCAGACTACCTTTGCGTACGCTCAAGGAAAGTTGGAAAGAAGTGCGGAAGGTAATAAGGCCTCACACCAGGAGTTTGAGGTCAGGGATACGGTGTGGTACTACGTATACACCAAACCCGTGGGCGTTGCGAAAAAGTTCCTGCCCCACTGGACAGGGCCACATAAGATTGTGTTAAAGCTGTCACCAGTTGCTTATCAAATCAGAATCAGCAAAGGTCGACAGAACATCACGTTCAAGTGGGTCCACAGGAACCAAATCTAGTTGTACACTCCCCCCATGGGAATAGAAGGGGTGCAAGCCAGCCCCGAATAGATAGAAACCTAGCCAATCAGAGGTACTAACAAAATTCTTAAGTATCCTCAGCTGATCCCTTCCGGGAGGTCAGTACATTGCACCTAACATCTTTCCTTCTCCTTCCAGCTACAAGACACACATTTCGTTGTCATTGTTGATATTGTCCTGCGTTGTGCTGTTCAAAATTGGAAAATCCGCTACATTTGTTGTCAAAACGTTTATATAAAAATAAATTTAAAAAAACTAAACAAAACACTACTGAGATAATCAAACAATATCTCTAATTATGCGTTTTTGTAGGATGGAGTTCCTTTGGATGACCCTGACACTCTGCGCCCTGGTCAAAACCAATCCAGCAGATGTACAGTGCCTTGCAAAAGTATTCATCCCCCTTGGCGTTTTTCCTATTTTGTTGCATTACAACCTGTAATTTAAATGGATTTTTATTTGGATTTCATGTAATAGACATACACAAAATAGTCCAAATTGGTGAAGTGAAATTAAATATTTTCAAAAAATTCTAAAAAATAAATAACGGAAAAGTGTTGCATGCATATGTATTCACCCACTTTACTATGAAGCCCCTAAATAAGATCTGGTGCAACCAATTACCTTCAGAAGTCACATAATTAGTTAAATAAAGTCCACCTGTGTGCAATCTAAGTGTCACATGATCTGTCACATGATCTCAGTATATATACACCTGTTCTGAAAGGCCCCGGTGTCTGCAACACCACTAAGCAAGGGGCACCACCAAGCAAGCGGCACCATGAAGACCAAGGAGCTCTCCAAACAGGTCAGGGACAAAGTTGTGGAGTACATATCAGGGTTGGGTTATAAAAATATATCAGAAACTTTGAACATCCCACGGAGCACCATTAAATCCATTATTAAAAAATGGAAAGAATCCACACCCCCCCCCAATTTAAAAAAAAAATAATAATAAATAAATGGAAAGAATATGGCACGACAACAAACCTGCCAAGAGAGGGCCGCCCACCAAAACTCACGGACCAGGCAAGGAGGGCATTAATCAGAGAGGCAACAAAGAGACCAAAGATAACCCTGAAGGAGCTGCAAAGCTCCACAGCTGAGATTGGAGTATCTGTCCATAGGACCACTTTAAGCCATACACTCCACAGAGCTTGGCTTTACGGAAGACTGGCCAGAAAAAAGCCATTGCTTAAAGAAAAAAATAAGCAAACACGTTTTGTGTTCGCCAAAAGGCATGTGGGAGACTCCCCAAACATATGGAAGAAGGTACTCTGGTCAGATGAGACTAAAATTGAGCTTTTGGCCATCAAGGAAAATGCTATGTCTGGCGCAAACCCAACACCTCTCATCACCCCGAGAACACCATCCCCACAGTGAAGCATGGTGGTGGCAGCATCATGCTGTGGGGAGGTTTTTCATCGGCAGGGACTGGGAAACTGGTCAGAATTGAAGGAATGATGGATGTAGCTAAACATAGGGAAATTCTTGAGGGAAACCTGTTTCAGTCAGAGTACACACACAGAGGGTGTACGTCCGCCTAGATGCAGAGAACGTGTACCGCCAACACATTTCCCCTGCAGCACATATGAGTTGGGCCGGGGCTGACTGGACCACCCAGGCAGTTAAGCACACTCAGCTAGACACTGACCACATGTTGGCCCAACTCCAAAAGTTCACAGTCACCCAGTCAGAACCAGCAGAGCCCAGGCGAGAAATACGATTCCTCGGGGCGCTACTCTCAATAGGTGCAGCTGTAGGGTCACTATTTGCTCCAGGTAACACTGCCGTCAACGCAGTCAGTCTAGCCACGGTCAAAACGAATGTTAGGGAGATTACTGAAGAGATGCCACTTATCCAGCAACAGATGCAATCACAGGCACTCAGGTTGCAGCATGTGGGAAGGTCTCTCCAGGACACTATTCTGGTGGTAAACACACATGCTACTCTCCTGAACAAAACCCTCCTGTTGGTAGGCAAGCTTGTAGAGGTCATGAACCATGACTAAGTCCATGTCCAATTGGTTCGATTGTTGTTGGAGGATTTTCTCCGTGAAGTTAGCTCTTCTGTGGACCACTTGGCCATGAATAGAATCCCCTCATATCTAGTGCCCCTCTCAATGGTGCACAACATATTGACCTCAGCTACCACAACCATGATAAAGCCATTACAGTCACACCTGGCCTATAGTCTGGGGTCTGCAATTCCCATGTGAAAATCATCACACCTCCAGTCGTAGCTTATCACGAACACAATCCAGATTTCTATCTCACCCCTAACCTGTTAATGTGTACTCTAACCAAAGACGTCCACTACTTGTGTCCTAGCAAACCCTTCGTCAGGGATAACACTGAGCGCCTTTGTGGCCTTAAGCCTATCACCAGCGAAGAACGCTGTGGAGCCAAACTAACAGCAAGAGGTGGAGTCACCACCACGCAAGTGGAAGTGGTATGGAATCAATGGCTGATTAACACCCCATTCACCTCCGCCACTATGATTTACGAATGCCATGACTCAACCACCAAACTGAACCTCCCCAGTCAGACAATTTTTGTTAAGGTACCAGAGGGGGCAATTATCCACATAGACGACCTAGCCCTATACCAACTTCCTGACGACAGGATAGACACAGATATTGAAATGCCTGATGCTTTTGCTAAACGTTCCCTTGAGTTACCACCAGCTATTCAAAACCAAATTCAGTACGAGGGACCGCTGACTGTTGATCTTAGAGTACTGAATGAGCCACTTTTAGCTGACCCGATTGGCTATAAGCCAAAAGATTGGTCTGTCACCCGCTCTTGGACGGTTCCGGACAGTATTTTGACTGTTACCATGATCATGATGGTCTTATTGTCCTTGGCGTGTGCACCTACTATGTACACAGGCGCACACGCGCAATTGAAGACCTAATGAGGTCTTATGCTAGGATCACCTGTGGGACGGAAGCAATTCCGATTTTCGGAAAAATGGCAATAGATTCCAAAACCCCATCAGGTGACCCATCCACAGCATCCCCAAGAAGAAGGACATTGTGACCTCTTGTGGACAATCTGAGCCTTACATCTAAAAGGCCATCCGAAAGAGAAGGCCCAATCGACTCCTTCCCATGAAGGCCTGGGTCAAACAGAGATACATGACGAAGACCTCCAACACATAAATACATGCATTGCTTTTCTTCCCAAACGGGCGGCAGTTCAGGGCAAATTATTAGGATCGCTGTGAGCATAGGTCCATGTCTCTCTCTCTCTCTCCCTCTCTCTCTCTCTCTCTCTCTCTCTCTCTCTCTCTCTCTCTCTCTCTCTCTCTCTCTCTCTCTCTCTCTCTCTCTCTCTCTCTCTCTCTCTCTCTCTCTCTCTCTCTCTCTCTCTCTCTCGCCATCTTTTGTAACAAGTGTCATATTGTGTTAGTCCGCTAGGGACCCGTTTTCATTGTATTAAGTTTCTAATCCCTACCTATACCGTGTATGTGTTTGTATCTTGTGTTATCATTTTTAATTAGTTAGTAAATAAATAATTAAATCAATGAGTGTGGTACGGAATGATCAGTAAGACCCAGGTTCGTGCAGACTTAAATAGTCTACGACTTTCAGAATGAGACTGATATGAGGTTAATTATTAATAAATGACTGTTAAATGATAAGAGATATCTAGATATCTTTAGAGTTAATTCAGGAAACGGTAACTCGTTAAACAACTTTTCCCATGGTGCCCCAAATTCCTAATGAGTTCATTGTTACATGATTAATTGAATCTAGTAACAATTAAACATAGTAGGTAATTATTCGATAAATAATAATCATCACAAATGTAAATAATGAAAGTCATGTCACAACACTGTAATACTACTTATTTACAGCTGTGTGCTTATTCATGCAAGGTTTACATGTTGGTAACTATACATGATGAGTATTAGCCATGTTATATACTTTACATATCTTGTCTACTGAGCCCCTTGGCATAGTTCTGGGTACAGTACTGTATCCAGGCCATGAGGAGTAGTCCTTACATTGTCTGCTATGTAACCTAAGATGGCTACCTAGTCATTGTTATACAACCGGTATGGCCAACTGGTAATGTCATCACACCAGGTCACTTCCTGCCGCCATGGCCTTGCTGTTGTTAACATGCTAGCTCAGCATCAGTAGCGTAGCATGCTACTGCTACTTGCTATTGTCTATACAGCCATACTGTGTGCTATAGTAACCCCACTAGCCAACACTGTTAGCCTAACCCTGCTAAAAGTCTCTGTGTGTATACTGTTTATATTTTTTGCTATGCCAGTCAATAGACTAAGGCTTATTAGCCAATTATTCCTACTGACTAGCCATCATACTATGGCTAGCCTATATCCCTGCTATTTCTTTACCGCCATTACTGCTAGCCTATATTGACATTCGTTTGGGATTGCGCTATGTATCCAAGATGGCGTAGTAGTGCGGTCGTGTATTCTGTTGTGTCCTCATGTAAATAGCCTGTTTTTTTTTGTTTGTCTTTTTTCGTATATATTTCTCTATCTCACTTTCCATCCATTAACTAAATATACTTTCTTGCAACCCGCCTCACCCAATGTGGAACGGAATCTATTATTTATTTATTTTTATCAAGAACCTACAGCTGAAACTAGCCAGCTAGCCAGCTAACTAGCTACTTGCTATTAGCCACCGTTAGCGGTCTTCACCACTGTCCGTGGCCTGCACTACCTACCAGCCAGCTCTAGCCTGGACAATTATCGGCCAGTATGCACAGCGTGCTATCGACCTAGAGCATATCGGATTTTCTGCTGGAATCACTGAATCACTGGACCTTAACACCGGACCATCACAACTAGCTAGCTGCAACCGAATGGCAGTTGTTGGCTAATCACTGTCCCGACGTACCAGTTAGCCTTGAGCTAGCCCCGAGCCCATCTCCCGGCTATCTACCTCTCTGTCAACTGGACGGGACCTCCTAGTGTTGACACGGAGCCCCGCCGATCCATCACGACTGGTCTGCCGACGTAATCGTCTGATGTGGTTTCAAGAGGCTTCCCATTGTGACGACCACGAAGATCCATCTGCTAGCCCCAGCCCGCTAGCACGTGCAATCAACAGCCGTGCCTCCTGCTCGCCTGTGCTGTAGCAGCCTACGAACTGCTCCTGGACTTACTTATTGCTGTTCACTGGACCTTATGATCACTCAGCTACACAGCTAATGCCTGCTGGACTGTTCCTTTACACGGTACCCCATCCTGTTTATCTGTTTAGCCTAAGTCCAAACTTTCGTCGCCATTACCAGTTGTTGTCTTAGCCCTCTCGAATAACACCTGTGATTTTGTTATGCCTCTCTCCCATGTCCATATGCCTAGCCTATTGCTGTTTGGGTTAGTTCTTATTATACAATTTTACTGTAGAGCCCCCAGTTCCGCTCAACCAGCCTCAGAGAGCTCCTTTGTCCCACCCCCCATACACGAGGAGACCGGCTCAATCGGTACCTCCAGTGATGCTATCTCTTTCATAGTTACCCAATGCTTAGGTGTACCTCCACTGTACTCATATCCTTCCATATCCTTGTCTGTACATAATGCCCTGAATCTATTCTAAAACGCCCGGAAATCTGACCCTTTTATTCTCTGTACCCAACGCACTAGAAGATCAGTTCTTAAAGCCTTTAGCCGTATCCTTATTCTATTCCTCCTCTGTTCCTCTGGTGATGTGGAGGTTAACCCAGGCCCTGTAGTCCCCAGTATCACTCCTACACCCCAGGCGCTATCATTTGTTGACCTCTGTAACGGTAAAAGCCTTGGTTTCTTGCATGTTAACATCAGAAGCCTCCTCCCCAAGTTTGAGTTATTCACTGCGTTAGTACACTCTGCCAACCCTGATGTTCTATCAGTGTCTGAATCTTGGCTTAGGAAGGCCACCAAAAATTCAGAAATGTCCATCCCGAACTACAACATTTTCCGTCTAGATAGAACTGCCAAAGGGGGCGGAATTGCAATCTACTGTAGAGATAGCCTGCAGAGCTCTATCATACTATCCAGGTCTGTGCCCAAACAGTTTGAGCTTCTACTTCTAAATATGTGAATTGCTTGCCCCCCATCTATCCTCAGAGTTCGTACTGCTTGGTGACCTAAACTGGGATATGCTTAACACCCCGGCCGTCCTACAATCTAAACTAGATGCCCTCTGTCTCACACAAATTATCAAGGAACCTACCAGGTACAACCCTAAATCCGTAAACATGGGCATCCTCATAGATATCATCCTGACTAATTTACCCTCTAGGGTATTTGCATCCTGTAGCACTAACTCCAAAAAAAATTGGGACACTGTAAAGTCCATGGAGAATAAGAGCACCTCCTCCCAGCTACCCACTGCACTGAGGCTAGGAAACACTGTCACCACCGATGAATCTACGATAATCGAGAATTTCAATAAGCATTTTGCTACGGCTGGCCATGCTTTCCACCATTTCGAATCCCACCGTACCTTCTCCGCTATGCAATCTGGTTTCCGAGCTGGTCATGGGTGCACCTAAGCCACGCTCAGGGTCCTAAACGATATTATAACCGCGATCGATAAAAGACAGTACTGTGCAGCCGTCTTCATCGACCTGGCCAAGGCTTTCGACTCTGTCAATCACCGCATTCTTATTGGCAGACTAAATAGCCTTGGTTTCTCAAATGACTGCCTCGCCTGGTACACCAACTACTTCTCAGATAGAGTTCAATGTGTCAAATTGGAGGGCCTGTTATCTGGACCTCTGGCAGTCTCTATGGGGGTGCCACAGGGTTCAATTCTCGGGCCGACTCTATTCTCTGTGTATATCAATGATGTCGCTGTTGCTGCTGGTGACTCTCAGATCCAACTCTACGCAGACGACACCATTTTGTATACATCTGGCCCTTCATTGGACACTGTGTTAACAAACCTCCAAACAAGCTTCAATGCCATACAAGCCTCCTTCTGTGGCCTCCAACTGCTCTTAAACGCTAGTAAAACTAAATGCATGCTCTTCAATCGAATGCTGCTTGCACCCGCCCGCCCGACTAGAATCACTACTCTCGGCGGGTCTGACTTAGAATATGTGGACAACTACAAATACCTAGGTGTCTGGTTAGACCGTAAACTCTCCTTCCACACTCACATTAAGCATCTCCAATCCAAAGTTAAATCTAGAATTGGCTTCCTATTTCGCAACAAAGCCTCCTTCACTCATGCTGCTAAACATGCCCTTGTAAAACTGACTATCCTACCGATCCTTGACTTCGGCGATGTCATTTACAGAATAGCTTCCAACACTCTACTCAGCAAATGTCTGTCACTGTCTATCACAGTGCCATCCGTTTTGTCACCAAAGCCCCATTTACTACCCACCATTGTGACCTGTACACTCTCGTTGGCTGGCCCTCACTACATATTCGTCACCAAAACCCACTGGCTCCAGGTCATCTATAAATCACTTGTAGGCAAATCCCCGCCTTATCTTAGATCACTGGTCACCATATCAACACCCACCCGTAGTATGCGTTCCAGCAGGTATATCTCACTGGTCATCCCCAAAGCCAACACCTCCTTTGGCTGCCATTCCTTCCAGTTCTCTGCTGCAAATGAATGGAACGCAAAAATCTCTGAAGCTGGAGACACTTATCTCCCTCACTAACTTTAAGCATCAGTTGTCAGAGCAGCTTACCGATCACTGCACCTGTACACAGCCCATCTGTAATTAACCCACCCAACTACCTCATCCCCATATTGTTATTTACATTGTTATTTATTTAGCTCATTTGCACCCCAGTATCTC